AGCTGAGGGAATTTGTCACCAACAAGCCCACACCCTAAGAATTGTTGAAGGAAGACCTTTAGGCAGAAGGAGATGACTCCAGGCAGAAAGCTGGACCTGTGTAAAGCAATGAAGAGCACTAGAGATGTTAACTATGGATAAACACTGAAGTCTCTCTAAAAGATACTTGCTTGAAGCAAGAGTAATAACAGTGTATTGTGGGGTTTATAATAACTTATGGAGAAATACAATGAATGGCAATAATAGCCTGAGGGTTGGGAGAGGAGAAATGGAAGTATACTCTTGTGAGTTCCTTATGTTCTACGTGAGTGATACAAACTATGAGGTGAAGGGAGGCTGTGATATGTCAAAGATGAATCCTGTCAACCCTAAAGCAACTACTAAGGTAGCACAACAAAGAGTTATAGTTCACAGGGCAACAAAGAAGATAAAATGGAATCACAAAAACTACTCAGCCCAAAAGAAGGCAGAAAAACAGGAAGGGGAGGGCAAAGAATAGATGGAATAAATTAGAAACAAATACCAACATGGTAGGTTTAAACTCAACCATATCAATGATTACATTCAGTGTAAATGGTCTAAATATCCCCATGGGAAGATTGAAATTGTCAGACTGGATTGAAAATAATGCAAGGCCCAATCATCTGCTGCCTCTAAGAAATCATCTGCTCCCTTTAAATATAAAGACCCAAATAAATTAGAAAGGCCAGTTTGGTAGCCATAAAGAGGGAAAGCTATTGGAGGTTCTTAGGGTCCGGGTTAAATGAAAATAATAGTAGTTAAAGTGGAGAGGAAGTGAAAGGCATGAAAGGTATGAAGGAGGTACAATCTCCAGAACCCAGTAACGGGTCATAAAGGGTTGTGGAGGGAGACAACTTCTGACTTGGGCCACTGTGCTGGGCCAGTGCTAGCCCATGCGATGGCCCCTGTGAAGCAGAGGCATGGGGGTTTGCAGAGCCTTAGGGACATCCCGGCTAACACTGGGAGCAGGCATGTAGATGGAACTCAGGAGAAAAGGCTGTCTGGAGGTTTGGGTTTGGAATTCACTAGACAGTGGTTAAAGCCACTCCTTTGGATAGAATCAGCCAGGAAAATTGTATAATGGGATGAGAATGGCAGTACTGATCAGTGGGGAATTCAGAGGGGAAATTTAGGTCTGGGAAGGGGGAAAGAAGGGAAGGTTGGTTAGTAGCAAGTTAGAAATATACGAGGTTAATAAATTTAAGTGGAAATTAAGTGTGGGTAAGAGAAGCCTTAATGGAATCAGATGAAACAGGGGAAAGAAGCCCACCAAGTGGGAATATTTTGCATCCTTTATTCGCAGAAGTGAGGTGACCCAAGACCGCAGCTTCAGCTTAGCCATATGGATCTCTCTCTCTCTTTTTTTTTTTGCGGTACGCGGGCCTCTCACTGTTGTGGCCTCTCCCGTTGCGGAGCACAGGCTCCGGACGCGCAGGCCCAGCGGCCGTGGCTCACGGGCCCAGCCGCTCCGCGGCACGTGGGATCCTCCCGGACCGGGGTACGAACCTGCGTCCCCCGCATCGGCAGGCGGACCCTCAACCACTGCGCCACCAGGGAAGCCCCCATATGGATCTCTTGCTGCCTTGCGTCTGGGTTGGGCTGACCTAGAGGCTGTATTGGGAGGGGGGCAAGGAGTCAACATGTATGGTGAGCCCTCAGAGGGGGCCAGGACAGGGTGGTGAAAGAGGAAAGAAAGTAGAAGAAAGCATGCTCAGGGAACTCAAGGGAGGACAGGCAATGGGGGGGACGGGAGTGGCAGCAGGCTGTGGCGTCCTGAATGTGCCAAATGGTAATCAGTGGAGGGACAGGGGCATTTCAGCAGTTTAAAGGGAGTGAGTGGGAGTTTTTGTGAAAATTAGGTGAGGTGACAAAGGCGAAACAGTCTGCTCTGAAAAGCAAAAGTATTCCACACGGGTGTTGTCACTGTTGTTCCTATTAGCTTCGGTGTTCTGGAGCCAGGGACAGTTAATATCATTCACTCAGAGCACTCACAGTGTTTTGCAGATCCTGATTTTGTGGCCATCACAACACTGAAAACACAGAAGAGCAGGGGTGGTTGTGATTGCACAGGCTGAGTTGTCACATTCCAGTCCCGAAGGTGGTGGGGAATGTTCGATGGTCATGCCCACCAGCTCGCACAGAGCCATGACGTGGAGAGTGGAAAGAGCTTACTCTTCTGACAGGGAACTTGGGACACACAGGGGATCTGGTTCTTGAAAATGACGCTAATGATCTGGGTGCTGAGTGGGGCTGAGGGAGGTTAGAAGCAGATGTTCTGGTCTAGAATACTTTTCCTTCATCTACACTTATCCCCTCTTAGACTCCTGCTTAGCCCTTAACTGCCTCTACGCCCTTCCTAGAGGCTGCACTCCCAAACCAGATCCTGCTCACTCATTTCAGCCTTCCCGACAGCCTTCACAGTAAGTTCCCCTTGCCGTGCCCAGGCTCAGCCCTGACTCAGTCCTGGGTGCCACACCTGGATGCGCAGGTGGTTCCTGGATGTCTCTGAACAGCTGCTGCCCTTGAGGCGCGTGAGCACCTGCTGACCCCCAGTGGCCATTGGTTGTATTACATTAGGAGAGGGAAGACTGCTCTCCAACAGGGTGGTTTTGTGCGGGACAGGGCTGGGCAGGTGCAGGGGGAACTGCAGAAGACCAAATAGCTGGCGAGTCAGCCCGCCCTGCTGGCATCTTTGTTCAGTGAAATGAAAAAAAATGAATCGACTTGCATGAGAGTTTCTCTTAGGGAAGGAACTGCCTTTGTTTAGGAAAATATCTTGATAGATTACATTGAGTGTGGAATGAAACAGTGAAACAAAGGAAACAAAGTGATCCCTTGATGTAAGAAGCCAATGGGAATGTGCGGGGCAAGGAAGGCAGAGGATGGAATGGAGGGGAGAGGAAAGAGAGAAGAGGGAGAGCTGGGCAGAAGCAGGACTAGAGTGAGACACACGAGGTACCCAGGGGACAAAATTTAAGGAGGTGCTTGCTCTCAGGCTCGTGAAAGTGCAGGGTTGGCACCTGAGAGAGGGCACCTCCTTAAATATTGTGACTTGGGTGCGTGGGGTTAAGGAAAACATCTGGAGGCCACCCCTGCAGGAAATGTAGCCAGAGAAATCTCCTGGGGGCAGGGGACAAAGGACTTTGAAGAACAAGAGGGGATTGTAATCAACTTCTAATATGTTTGCTGTGAAGTCTGTGATGTAATTATTTCCCTTTGTTGCCTGAAACCTTCAGTAAAGTCTGCTTATACATAAAGGCTTCATGGGAAAGGTTTGGGGAGAAGTGAAGGAAATGTGTTCTGTGTTTGGGTTGGCAGAGAGCAGGGAGAAGGAAACAGCCACTGGAAGTGAGACCTACAGATGCTCAGGGTCCCAGCAGGACCAGGACACTGAGAGTGACGGGAAACTTGGGGAAGGTGTGGGGCTTCCCATAGGACATAAGTCAATCTCTTTCTTTTTTTTTTTTTTCTTTTCTTGCGTTATGCGGGCCTCTCACTGTTGTGGCCTCTCCCATTTGCGGAGCACAGGCTCCGGACGCGCAGGCTCAGCGGCCATGGCTCACGGGCCCAGCCGCTCCGCGGCATGTGGGATCTTC